AATTTTGTAGATCTAATTATGTATGGATTTTGACCTGATCTAATTATATATAAATAGATAAAATTGTTTATGATTATATATGAACAGATTAAATTATGCATACTTATGACGACAAAATTACAGTTGCGTTCCGATATTGATTGCTAATACTGAAAATCTATAATATATGTGACATAAAATACCCTTACAGAAAATAAGTGAAAAAAATGAAAAAAAAATGAGAAAGAGGAATGAAACACATTTTTTATCTCGTATCATTGTATGTTTCTATAACCGGTCACCCATCCATTTGGAGATTCTATTTAAAATGCTGCTTAACCTCCGTATTGGGATAAAACCTACTATTAAAATGACCAAATAAGTGATTACGGAGTCTCTTCTTAAAATAGATCTTAAGATAGATCTGGTTAATGAATATTACTATACTGCATAAATTTAATCTCAATTTTAAAATCTCGATTGCATATGTAATTCTTGTAAGATAATTTAATTACATATATAGAGCTGTGAACTTATATTATGTTTAATATGAATCATTATTCTTATAAAAATGTTTATAAATTGTTGTATATATTTTATTTACTTGTTAAAGAATTTGTTAATAACTGTATTAAATATGGAAAATATTTTTTTTATTTAATTATATTATTTATTTAGTTATTGTATATTACAGTTACAGTTAATTAAGAAAAATAATTAATGTTGTTATTTATTCAATAAAAATGACTTAAAAATGACGATTAAGTTTTTAATGGGTCCATTTTTGTGATAAATATGAAAAATTAATATATTTTTATAAGTTTATTTATTTATAACATTTGTATTTATATGAACAATCTCATATATAAAATATTAAGTTTTTCGTAAAATAAACGAAGTAAATCAGTGTAATTATATTAAACTTAAAATTTTCCTTAAGGATCCTTTATCCTTTATATTTGATTGAAATTATGTGTTCGTAAATTGTGTATATTCGTATATATGTATATACATATAAATCGTACAATATCAACTAAACTCGGATATGTCTCTCGTTTAGATGTTATTATTAACAGTTGAATGTATCTAGTTTGATGCATTATAATATATTATGTATAAATTTTTATATAATTTAATATCTTTTCATTTATAAATCTTTCTATTTGAAAAAGAATTATAGTTTTATATAATTCCATTTGAAGTTGTAAGCATTTTAATATAATCATTTCTAATTAGATGTAAACTTTTTCTTCGAAAAAAATTTCAATATAATTTTAGATTATTGTACATAGAATTATTAATATTTTGATATAATTACATATAAAATTGTAAAGTTATTGATTATTTGAAAGCAAATAACTTTATAAACTTTGTATCCGAAAAAAATTTCAATATAAGTTAATATAATTTGACATGGTGTTATGAATATTTTGATATAATTACATATAATTAAATCTAAATATTTTATCCGAAAAGAATTTCAATATAATTTTATATGAAATTATAGATACTTTGATATAATTACATATTATTAGACATAAACTTTTTACTCGAAAAAAATTTTAATATAATTTTATATAATTTGATATGGAGTTATAAATATTTTGATATAATTGTATATAATTTGTAATATTAATAGATCTTATTATATATATATATATTTATATATAATTAATATATATTAATATGATATAATTATATATAATTAGATATAAACTTTTTTTCCCGGATATAAACTTTTTTTTCCGGGCTTTGATCTTTTATTAGAAATTTTTATAAAAATTTAAAAAATGAAATGAATACAGAAAATTAATTTGGTAAAAAGATTATTTCTGATAGATATTTCCAGGTCTTTTTTCAAGAATTCACCATTTTTTCTTAAAAATTTTATCTTAAAAAAATTGAAAATATATGCTTTTCATAGAAAATTTGAAGAAAATATTTTACAAAATCTTTTGTTAATTTCTTTAAGATTATACAGAATAAAACAATTTTCAAATGGATCTAATACTTTTCGTTTGTAAAAAAAATTTTTTATCTAATATATAACGTAAATATACACATAAAATTGCAAATATAATTTTGTTGACATCAAAATAGCTATCAAAAGTTTGAATTCAAATGAAGATGTATGTAAAGTTACAATAATAAATCTTTTGTATTACTTCGGTCCTTTCCACACATCACGAATCCGATTGATTGCTCGGATAGATCTGATAAACTTGCAAAGTGGCTCTTATTAAGTGGCACTATTAGAGGATGGTACTCGAAAAACGAACATAATCATTAGTAACCGAAGTAGTTTCTGATACTCCGTCTAATAATCAATTCACGCGATCGTAATTATTTGCGACTTATGTCGATTCACTTTCAATGCTTTTCAATTAACTTATTAATCAAGATCACATCGCTATTCTAACATCAGAGAAGCCAATATTACTTCAGGAACTTGAAAATTAAAATATTTCGCATATACACGTAGAATACATCAAACAAAGAAAATTATTGAAAAATCTTTCTCAGCCATTTCCTTTTTATTAATTAAATTAATTTTGTATTAAAAAAAAGAAAAAGACAAAGACGATGATATAATATTATTTATTTATAATTAACATATAATAACTGTCCATTAATCTTATTTTTAACAATTAGGTTATTTTAAAATTGGAAATGTAATACCAACATTCAGATCCGACACACGCCACGTTGTTGAAGTGTACATAAACATATATTAATAAATAAAATTAAAACAATTGCAAACGTTTCAGTCCCATGTTTAGATAATTTTCAGTACAAATTTATCTAAATTATATTTAAATTTATTTAAATTCAATAGTATTAAATATTATTAAATAGTATTAAATATAATGGTATTAAATATTAATAATGTCTTTAGACTCTCAACGCTTGTGATTATAATCTTCAAAATGGTCGTAAAATAATGTATGTAGTGTCAACAACTTTTTTTAAAATGAATATGTTCAAAATTAAAATGAATGTTAGAAATATAATGTAAAGTAAATATATGTTGTCGTGTCAAATAAGCAAAGGCAAATAAGTTCGGTCGAATTTCTAAATATCAAGTAAAGAAATATAACAATCTCTAAATTTCGTAAAACTTAAAAATTGTAAAATAAAACAAACTCACATATATGCAAAGCAATGGATCCTAAATGAATTTTATATTTAGAATGAAAAAATTTTTATAATTTAAATTTATTTTACCATATTACATTTGATACTTTAATATGGCATTCAGAGCTGTCAAGTCGCATCGATATTTACTTAATATAAAAATTTTACACTATACCTACAAGACTGATATTGCTAGACTAGAAGATTGAAAATGAAGAAACAACATTGAGTTCTTAAAATTAGGCTAAATACCTAACGTGATACAAAAAAGCAATACGAAAATTTGTTCATATGTGTGCAGAAATGTTTGATGAGTGTATAGAGGGTGTCCCATAGTACTGTCCTCATCGCTCGTGAGTGATAATTTTCGAGTTGTTAAATATTTAAGCACAATGCAAATTGCACAAATAAGAGCGCGCGGGACAACTCAGCGTGACGACAATGACCATCCGGCGCTCGGCGATGGGTGAAGTATGCGTGGCAAAGAGAAGGATAGTAACCGCCGCTCACTCTTCCCATTCGACCTACAGGTCAGGCGGGCGAGCGCTTTCTCTCCGCACGCTCTTATTTGTACAACTTTAATATTTAATAATTCGAAAATTATTACGACTATCGCAAATTGATATAAAACATTTTGATTTATCTCGCTCCCACCTACCTACTCATGAGAACAGTGCTACGGGACAATCTGTATACGTATACATAAATATATCTATGTATGTTATGCATATGTGTGAACGTTTTCCTCAGAGTTCATTCGTCAGTTCAGGATCCTCTTGAGTGAGTTTAAGCACATAAGTGATCTCAATAAAAAGTGATTATTTTATCTGTTTTAGTTTATTTTTGTTTTTATTTAGCTTTTATCTCATATAGTAGAATATTTAATACGATATTAATGAAATTCAGCCACTTGAATATAAAAAATTAATTTTTTTACAGAGGCCTATAGAAAAGGGCGGAGGAAAAGAAAAAGTGTTCCTTAATAAAAGGAATAAGGCTCACATTATCGCGATGGCATAAATATAATTTGATCTGTAAAATTCCGCATGCGTAATTAAAGAGATGATTCATTTACGTCTTGCTCGCTTTGCCTTTATGCATCATGTGATTACAGTATCATTTTTATGCAGTGCAGTTATTATTGCAGCTATGATGCAACTTTAATTTTCGTGCATCATGATTAAAAACGACAAAAACGTGATGGTGAGAAAGGAGCTGATGAGGCAAAAGAAATCAAAATTTTATTCCCTAAATTTCATTTGAGGTTTAATTTAGTCTAAAGCATATCAAAGAAACAAATAAATCAATCAAAGATATACGTGAAACATTTCGCTCTTTCAATCCTTTATTTTTTTTTTATTTTTATTGTTTCATTGGCTTATTGAATACATTATAGTATCGATAAAATGTACAATAAAAAAAGACTACAAAAAATACAAATATTCAGTAAAACTTTTATTTGTAATTTGAATTCTTGTAAAACTTTATAAAGAAATTATAATAATAAAATTTGTATTAATAAAACAATTTAATTTACAGTAGAGTTGAAAAGATATATGTCTTTTGAAGAGTTATATACATTATTAAAAAATTTTATAATATTTTATTATATAATTAATAAAGCAATGTTTACAATATTTTATTGTGATTAACTTTTTAATTAGCATTAACTGTAATTAGTATTAACTTTTTAATATGAAAGATACTGTGATTATTGTTGTGAACTAAAAGAGATAGTGCCTATTGTAAATAAACTTGCATATTAACTTTGAAAGCATTGATTAATATTAAGACATAAATATCCAAAAAGACACCAAAAATAAAATTTTACAATTACATAAAATACAAAATATAAATTGATAGTACATTGACAATATATGAATGTATTTATAAA